TGGGGGGGGGAGGGGGGGGGGGGGGGGGGGGGGGGGGGGGGGCAACAAGGGCTTTCGGTCTAACAATCTCATGAATACTCATTACACATCATAAAAAATGACAATTTCGGAAATTAGACCACTGACTTTACAGTATTCCATATCTTCAAAACTTGTATGAAAGTAAGAGCAAGTCTCTAATAATCATCTGATACCATTCAAGTTCCCAACCGTGAAGACCATGCAAAATGGATTCAAAACTTAAGGAGATTCCGGACAAACACTCATGATCACATACTCTGAATTTGTTAAGGTCTAATCATGAATTTTCTCTATGTGTAGATCTACTCCTCCGGAATTCAGGCACTGATGAATTGCAGGCTTCCTTTACATTCTGAAGTACACTGTTGGGAAATTTATTTTCATGGTACCCAGCCAAAGACGGTTCCACCATTTGTGCTGGTTCTCTTATTAGGAAAAGAAAGTTATTAATGTCAGCTAAAGCAAAAAAGATGCCAAATGAGCCCCCATTTGGTTTCCTTCTCCTAAAATTCTACCTTTCAAAGTCAAATATTAAAATTAATCATGAATCCATAAATACTACCCATTTATCAACCGCTTAGTAGAATTTTAGCAAAGCCCAAACGGAGGCTAAATCTACTGCAAAAAAGTCAATAACATATTTCAGTCATACCTCGGCTCAGGATGTCGAGAGTTCCTTGAGAAGCTCCTCTGAAGCTTATGCACTCTAGTCGTACCACATACTAGCAACTGAACAGGCTCCTTTCCAGGATTTGAAAAATTAATTCTTTTAGACTCCAGTATTTTGCCATTATCCGTATCAGTCAGTGTCTCTATAATATCAGACTTTTGATTCGTAGCTGGAAACTGATGTTTGGTCCTGACTTTATTCTCAGGTTTACTTTTTCTGATGCCACCTTGCCATAGATTTAGTGCTTGTTTAACTTGTTCATCTTCCTTTTCCTGGTGAACTTTCCGAGTTGTTGCTCTTTAGATGCTGTTGAATAAATCAGAAATGTCGTCCTGCTTTAGGGGCTCTGGGGACCCCTGATGCAGATGTGTATTTGCTGCTGATGGGATGCTTGCACGTATGTTCGAGAGTATCAGGTCCTATTCTACTTTTGAGGATGGCACCTCTATCAGTTGATGTTGATCTCCTAACTGGAGAAGATGGAGATCTAAGCTTAGTGGAGCTAACTGATATCTCTTCAGCTAGAAAAGGCATTCTTGGCACAATGTCCTTGTCTATGAACTTAGAGGGAACTTGAGATATTCTCTGCTTACCCAAGGAGAAGCTTCGTAGCTGCAATTTAGTATGAAAGAGATGAGATGCTACTTGAGGTTGACAAGACCACATGAAACAGAATATTTAGTTTTGTCTTATGAGAATCCAATCTGATATCACTAAAGAACATACTTGTACACCCCAAAATACACACAACTGAAGTACTTAGTTTAAAAATAAACCGTTATTTGTGAAGTTGATGCAACATGATCCTTGGACGTTATCCTTGTAAACCCCAAAATACTCGCAACTCAAGTACTCAGTTTAAAAATAAACTGTTATTTGTGAAGTTGATGCAACATGATTCTTGGAAGTTACCTCTGAGCTCTGATCGTTATTGACATGTTGTTGACCAGTGCCAGGCTTAGAATTGACACAATTGCCATATTTCGACACATGAAGAGGTGATAACATTCCTTGAATATTAGTCCTACTTTTTAGTAGCTCCAATTCAGCCTCCTTCCCCTCCAATGCTAGCTTATGGTTTGATATAAGTAGCTAAAAAGACTTAATGCAATTTAAAAAGTGACCGAATATTAAGAGACCTCTTCTTGAAATTCTCTGCGTTTGCCGGCTTCTTTATTAGATGGAGCTGCACCCAGATCTATTGTGGCAACTCTTTCTGCAAATTTCAAGGTGCTAATTGTTTCCCCTATAGCACTGACCTTATATGCACAAACATCAATGTCTTAGCATGACCCCCTGTGAAAGAGAGAAACTGAATATAAGAACCATATGGTTTCCAAAACTGTAAAATATTATCATAACTTAACTTATACACTAAGCTTTAAGTAAAATTGTCTCTTTCATTCTATCTTTGAGAACTCTAAAAGCTAACTAATCAGAATCTTTTCCAGATGACTTGGTTTAATTAATTACCTAATGAATCTTGTAATACTTGTGTAAGCTGTAAGCTTGCTATTTCTAAACGGAACACGAGAACACTTTTGTGCAAGAGCAGAAATGACATCCCCAAGTGCAGAGAGAGATCTGCTAATATGTTGAGCATCTTTTAATCTCTCACCAACAGCTTCAGATATATCTACTAGCTCGCTTCCAGCTAAATCTACTAGGTGAAGGCAGCCCTTTAACATGGATCCAGAGGTCAAAATCACAGACCAATATAATAAATGGTTGCATAATTGATGATCAAAGAACAATATGAACTACAAAGAGGAGGAGAAAAACTCACCTATGGATCGACTACTCCGCTCATTCAAAGCATTGGCACCCACAGCATTCTTTGTCCAATTTTCATCAAATCAAGAACATCTCTAGTACATTTAACAGGAATCAAACTTGCATCAGGAACATTGGGACCATTTAACTGAGAATTGTTGCAGATGTCTAATGTGTCTATAATTAAGGTTTATCCAAATTCTAACCAAGAAATGCTATTGAGGCTTAGTAAGTCTTCAAAAAACAATGAGAAAAAGAGAGTTGACAACGATATCTTCTATTACTCCCATGAACAACCAATAAATCTCTAACTTGTTCATTGTATATCTCAATCATTTGGACTCCGACCTCATATTCTATGACGTCCATTCTTCCCTTTGAAATGTGAAACAAGTCACATAAAGCGCGATAATTACCCCCCATGTGTCCTCTATTGTCAAATCAGGACTGCTTTTTAATTATATAATCAGACATGAAATTAATAATCTCAGAAATCCACAATTTCCATACAAGGAATGCACGTTTTAACATACGGGTGTAAACGGTATACAATCCTAAAAATTCGTTAACCGAAAGAAACATAGAACTTCGTAAGTGTATGATCTTGCTTCCATTCATGATATCCTTTCAAACAAAGAATGTAATCCACAACTTTTCTTGATGATCGTTCCTATGGATTAAAATATTATTCATATTCATTAATGTATCAAAGGAGGAGAGTCCAATTATGATGTCAATTGTCAAATATATATATTTAAAAAGTGCGTTAATAGCATTAGATAGGGAAGACCATACATTCATTGAGTGGCCACGTGATCAATCTGTTAATAATATACAGTTCTGGAAAGACAAACATAGAACTAAACAAAAAGTTAACATTGTTCAGTCCATGGACTTAAACCCAGCCCCTTGGCCCCCTTCTATCATCCCTCAGCAAGTCACCTACAAGAATCTGCGAACACTTTGTCTCGCACTTTCTAAAGATTCCATATTACTCACCTTTTTAAATCAATATGATTTACAGACTTATAGAAGCACAGTGTTCTTTCAGAATAAAGCAAACAACTTGAAAATTCACACATGATTTTTCAAATGGAATAAAGCATTAACCTTTTCAAGATCAGACGCTTCAAAAAAGTGAGGAGCAACATTTTGCCAACCGCGACACGAAAATTCCTCATATTCTCGAAATTTTGAATAGCGGATTGGGCTGCACCCTCTGTGGCTTGCACATCCAGCACCGGACTTTCCACCACCTACACGTATTTCACACATAGAAAAAGGGAAAATCGATACCAAAAACGTTACATCTTGTTGACACATAAAAATTCAGCCCAAATCGAACGGCCCAAGTAGTAAAGCCCAATTGGAGGATCCCCAAATCAGGTAGCCCAAAGAACGAAGTTCGATCGAACAAATCAAGGTGAAGGCCCAAATAAGGGGGTCCAAGAATACTGTAACGCCATCGTCCAAGTTTGCAAGTCGCCCAGAATCTGAACGAATAGAGTGTTATACGGTCGCCCAGAGCTGTTATTCTATTTTCACCCAAACCTTCAAGTCGTCCAAGGTCTCAACAAACATAACGCGTCGTGGTTATCAAGAAATGCAGTTATCAAAGCAGTGGTTAAAGCAGCCCTATCACGTTCCACGATTCAAGGAATTCAATCGAAAGCGGTTGAACGATGAAAGGTAATGGCAGTAGTTAAAAGGCAGTTTTCATGACAAAATGGCCACTACGAAGAAAGTGGGTTGTTATAGGACGATCAAGCAGTTTTTAGAGTAGTTAATCGCAAAGAGATCGTCTATAAAGTATAAAAGGGAGAAAGGACATAGAAGAAGGGGATCGAATCCAAAACTCTCGAACAGAGAATATGTAATTTTCATTTCCTTAGTTTTTAGACTTAAACACTTTTCTTTCAGTAACTCGTGTGCTTGCGCCCCTTGGAGGCACGTTGTTTTTCATTTCCAATTGTAAAGTCATCGCTAATAAAAGAACACCCCTTTTTGGGACTTTCTCTCAAGAGGTTTGTCCCTTGCACAATCGTCTGATCCTTTTTAATTGTTAGCGACTAACCCGCGCGAAACAATTTGGCACGCCCGGTGGGACAGTGGTGTTAGGTGTTGAAAGTACAAAAGGAGAAACAATATGCCTCAGAGATCCGATAAGGAAGCAGCAAGTCAAGGAGGAATCTAGTCTGTAATCGAGCGATATGAGGAGCAGCATGCCTCTCCACGAACAAATAGACAAAATCAGAGCAGTAACAGTCGTTACGAACCAATGACGGAGTTGAGTCCTCGAACCATGCGTGCATTACTTGGAGAACTCACACAAGACGTCGTTGAACAGGTAAATCTTCGAAGTATTCATAATATGGAAAGATTTACACAAAATGGGAATGTACACTATGACAACATGGCCAAACAACTAAAGACGTTGAATGAAACAATGAACAAGTTAGTAGGCCAAATATGTCAACCGGCTATACCTCTTACAAATCACTT